AAGACAATTCCTGTGCTGTGATTTCGGCTATATTTGCATGTAAAATTAGAGAAGCAACATAATATCTATTTTAACTGAAGGCGCTGCTCCTCTCAGCCGCTCGCTGTACAGAGCAGACGCAGAGAGAGAGGTGTGCGCACGCTGACCTCACGCAGTTGCGTCAGTACCAGCGATAACAGAGACTCGCTAAGGTTTGTCCAAGAAGTCGCTAGATTTGTCGCTAGTCGCTTTTTTGGAAAAATAGTCGCCGGGGGGTCTGAAAAGTCGCTAAATCTAGCAACAAAGTCGCTAAGTTGGCAACACTGGTGTGTATGTGTTTTGATTATATTTTTGATTATTGAGCTGCAGGTTTAGGCTCATTTAAGTGACTGCATTTTTTTTCATTTATATGGATTTTTTTTTTACAGAAAAGAATTGATTTATGTTCTGATTATTGTTGAGCTGCAGGTTTAGGCTCACTTAAGTGACTGCATTTAATTAAGTTAACTAATTATTTAGCCTGACATGTTTACTGTTCCAAAATGTTCTATATGTTTCTTAAAAATAAAATGTGTTCTGTGGAAAAAAAAGTTGTTTTTTTACCCAGACATTTAAAAATAACATATTTTAGAGCTGTAATCGCAATACCGTGATACCGTGATATTTTTTTTATCTAAGGTTATCATACCGTCAGAATCTCATACCGGCCCATGCCTAATTGTAGCCCAATTAGCTTTTATACATGCTGGACAATGTTGAGCTACAATTACATTATCTAGCTCTGTAAGTCTGACTTAACAAAACCAGACTAGTACTGTAAGAGTAGTCTGACTGAAGTGTTTATATGACATTTTAGTTTTAGTCCAACTGAAATCAAACTTTTAAATGTGCATATAAATGCACTTAATGATTGAGCTAATGATGTGAGTATGGGATGGCGCAGTTTCTTCTTGTGCTGATATTGGCTCAAAAATTATGCACATCAACTTTAATGAATCATTAAAGCTTTATGTAACAACGTATCACTCCAAATTCATGCAAAAATCATGTTTTTGTCTTGTTTTCCAGTTAAAATGTCTAATTTACTTGTAGCAAAATGACTTAATGATAAGTCTTATGCTTTATGCTTAAAACTTAAAAAAATTCTTCCAATGGGGTAAGAAAAATATATTTAATTCAAACTGGAAAACAAGACAGAAATACTAAGAAAATAATTTTTTGCAGTGTAACAATGACTAGATTGTGTGATTTTATTTTATTTTGTATGAGTAAAGCTGTTTGTTTTCTTGTGTCTATTATAATCATTTTGTGTATCATCTAATGTATTTTTTATTTTTTTTTAACAGTCTCATAGCTGGCAGCCTGGCATTAAGAACCCATATAGAGGAGTGGTGGTGTGGCCTGTTCCAGAGAACATAGAGATCACTGTCACACTATTTAAGGTAAACACATGCACTTACACACGCACACATTAAAAACACTGTTTCATCTAGGGGCCAAGTAGGCCTAGACGTTATTGGGGCCAGTTGTAGCAGTTGGCTTTTTCCCAGAAGCTGATTGGTTGAGATCTGCAGGTCTGCTAGTGTCTAGACGTCCTGATTCCACTTTAATTTAACTTCCACAGTCCAAATTGTAACCCCCTTCTCAAGTGTGTGTACAGCAGAAACTGACACGGCAGCAGGAAGTCTGTGCTTGGTATTTTAGTCTTTTTGAAATGCCGGTCAGCAGATTTTTACATCTGGCACGAGAGAAGTGAGACCTTACATCCTAAATTGTCAGACCCAGGTGCAGCCATAGAGGAAGTACATCTATTAGACACAAAGAGAGAGAGAAGTTTGTAGATCGGAGGCTCCTCCTGCTAACAGCACAGGATTTGAGATGCCAGTACTCTTGTCTCAGATGACATTCTGACAACAATTCTGACGTTGAGTTCGGAATTTTAAATATATTGTTATATAACTTGTATTAAGCATACATATGTATAGTGGTATGTACAGTTTATTACTATACTTAAGTATGCATAAAAAATTTGTGTATATACACACACACACATTTTATATAAATATTTTCACATACATACACATCACACATGCAAGTTACGAGCTAGTGCTGACAGGCTGACCTGGTGTTTGAATATCCTCTAACAGTCTCCACATTGTGTTTATGTACAGTAGGTCACACACACAAAGTGCTTGTCCAAGCTTTTTCCTTATCAGCCCTCTCCTCACCAAACCACGCTAACACACACTAATCAGTGTCATGTACAACTACATCTCCCAGAGTTCATTGTAGTAGGTCAATTTGGCATTCAGGAGTTCATGAATGTTTCATTTGTGCACCGCCAACCTTGCAGTCAGCTGACCGGGATAGTTCCAGAACAGCTGGTCAGGTGAACTGTATGTATTTGCATCCTCATATACACATTTACCTGACTAATAAACCTGATTCAACTTTGAAATAGGCTCACAACATAGATCAGTATGAGAAGAATTTATCTGACTTGTATGAGACAGACAGATCACTTTCTCTGTGACCTATTGCACTGCAATTGGTCATTATATTACTGATGTAGCCAGATGAAGCTTTAGGTAAGTAATTTATGGAAACATCTCTACATCCTTTGTATGTTTTGCATTTTATTTCCCTCAAGAAATGCACATCTTGCTTCGATCTCTATTGTTGATCAGTAAATGGAGATTGATTTGATCTGTGGAGTTGCTTTTCCCCAGTATCTCTTACAAAATACACTAAAAACAGGCTTTATTCTGAGACTTCTTTAATGAGCCATGTCTCAGGTCATATGCCATCTAATTCATTTCCACATTCTGTTTTTCAGGATCCCCACGCAGAGGAGTTTGAAGACAAAGAGTGGACCTTTGTTATTGAAAATGTGAGTGCTTTTATTACACTCTTGTGGTTCTGGTGAGTTCTGCTATGTATGTGCAGCCTGACACCTAGTGCTCAAATAGAGTATTCACACTAATGTTACAGATTCAGAGAGCCAGGATGAAGAATAACTGATTTGAGGCAGAAGATGTTTGTGTCACTTCGTGTCTGTTGTTCACTCATAGTTGTTGTCGTGTCTTAGATTAAAAGCAGATTACTTGTCTGGATGTTTTTTCAGAACCAGAACTAGCCTTTGAGCAAAACACAATTTTAATACAAATACAAATGCTTCACCATGCCAAATGGCTTTTGGCTTCTAGAAAATTGCCAGCTGTTTTGCTCTTGTAATGCATTGATTGTTGGAAATGTTTGTCTTGATGCTGATTTGTGTTTCGGATGCTTTTAGACGTCCCTCTGGTGTTTCACAAGATTGCTGTTGTAGATCTTTGCAGTGCGATTGGCTAGCTGGAGGACAGGGCTGTCCATAAACATGGCCGTGCTTGGCGTCTGTTTGGCTAATTATCTTGTGGCTTGTTGGAGCGCACTTTCATGACAGGAAAAAACAAAAAGGAGACTTTCAGGGGCTCGAAGACTGCTTTTGACTGCTCTTTACTCTTTTATACTGAAGGAGGAGATACTTTGCAATCTCTCTGCATGTGTTTTATATCCTCAGACACACACACACACATATACAGGTTTGTTTTTGTGAAAAGTGGGGACATCCCATAGGCGTAATGGTTTTTATACTGTACAGACCGTATATTCTATTGCCCTACACCAACCCTACCCCTAAACCTACCCCTCACAGGAAACTTTGTGCTATTTCAGATTTTCAATACACTCCATTCTGTGTGATTTATAAGCGTTTTGAAAAGTGGGGACATGGGGTAATATCCTGAAAAGTCACCTTCTCCTTGTAATACCTATGTCATACCTTTGTCATTATACAAATGTATGTCCTCATTTGTCACAAAAACACGCGCACACACAGGGCTCTGAAAGAAACACACAATTTGAGACTTAAAACTATAATAAATGCTGAGAGAATCTGGGAACACGTGCTGAGCAAAACACATCAATTAGGGATGTTATCTTTATATAATATTGCTGCTTTCTCTCTCTTGTAGCAGGCCTCTGATTAGAGATCAGTAAACATCACAGGCTGTTCAGTGGAATTGTCTGAGCTGTGTTTTGTGGTTTCCTTTGCCACAGAAGAATATTGTAATCTAAAAATACATTGGTGACTGTAATTTGTTTTTCTTTATGTTCATCCGTCTTCACTTCCCTCCAGTTACAATATACCTTTGTTTAAATTACCCACTTTTACATGTTCAGAATGGCATAACAGTTAGTTACACCTCCGCTCAAAAGTTTGGGGTCAGTGAGTGTTTTCTTTAATACTTCTATTCAGCAAGTATACATTAAATTTATCAAAAGTTACAGTCAATTTATTATTGTTTCATTGTATGTTATTTTGAACTTTCATCACGTTTTTTCAAAGAATCCACAAGTTTCCACAAAATATATTGAGCAGCACAACTGTGTTCAGCTTTAATAATAAGAAGAAATGTTACTTGAGAACCAAATCAGCATATTAGAATGATTTCTTATAGGGATGCACCGGAATTTCGGAAAATATATGGCGCGGCGCGCCGCCCAGCAGTGTTCAGCGCTCAGGTTTCACTCTCCCTCTAGCCATTGTCACTGCGCGGTGTGTTTTTTAAATTCAGTATCATTAAAAATATTTAGTTAAATTAAGAAGTCAACAAAATTACTTTATATTTTTTAATACAATTATAAATAAATATTTCAAAGCAGTTTCGGTTTTCAGCCCAGAATTTTCATTTCGGTGCATCCATAATTTCTTAAGTATCATGTGACAATGAAGACTGGAGTAATGGTTGCTGAAAATTCAGCTTTGTCATCACAGGAATAAATTTCATTTTAAAATATATTAATATAGTATTGCTATTCCACAATGTTACTGTTTTGCAGTATTTTTGAGACTTTGAAAAACAAAAAGTCTTACAGACTCCAAACTTTTGAATGGTTGTCTAACAATAATGTACTCTAGATTTCCATCCTGAACATGATATCTGTCTGTGTCTGGAGAGAGGCTGTTTGGATCCACAAACGTGGGCATCGGTCCAGATAGGGCTGTCCTATCCATCTGTCTGCTCAGCTGACACACACACAAACATCAACAAACAATAATAAACTCCCTTCACAGGTCCATTGTTAATGTCTCTGCTGGCAAGCGCTCATTCATGTCTCTGTCCTCATGAGGGAATTATCAACTTTTAGACACATTCAAGATGTCTTAATCAGCGTAAACACACATGCAGTTCTGTGTGTGTGATGACTGTATATGTGATGTGAGATTAATAGATTAAATGGTATTCCTTTGTGTTTGGGTTCCATGTATTCAGATGGAGAGTGGTTGAGGGAAGAGTGAGAACACAAAGCATAAGATCTGAATTCCTCTTGTCCATACACACCTCACTAATAACAGACTGATCAAAGACACTGTCATCTGACACCAGCAGTGAGACCAGAAGAGATCCACACACACCAGGTTCCCACAAACTCACTGAATTCCTCCTTCCACAAACACTCCCATCTCCCACAAACTCAAGCTCTCTCTTTCCTCGATCTCACTCTCTCTCTCTCTCTCTCTCTCTCTCTCTCTGTCTCTCTCTCTCTCTCAAACACAGACACACTAACTTGCATTTTTGCGTTTCGGTATGGTTTCGGTACAGCAGGGGGAAAAACTAAACACAAAATTACTTAAAAAAAAAAAAAATTTAACCGGTTTACTAAACAAATTGCTCTTTCTTTAAATTCAATTATAATTAAAATTTTCTTAGGAATAAAAATCTACCTCAGCTTATGCTCTAAACCAGTGTTTCCCAACCGGGGTTCCGTCTGTCGAGAGCAGGGGTGCCGTGTAAAAAATCCTTTTTTAATATTTTTAAATTGCTAAAATGTTCATTAAAAATGCAGTAAAACAGTAATATTCCAAAATATTATTACAATCTAAAATAACTTTTATATTGTAATATATTTTAAAATATAATATCTTCCTGTGATGTAAAGCTTAATTTTCAGCGTCATTACTCCAGTCTTCAGTGTGACATGATCCTTTATAAATAATTCTAATATGCTGATTTGATGCTCAAAAACATTTCTGATTATTATCAATGTTGAAAACAGTTTTGCTGATTCATATTTTTGTGGAAATTATACATTGATACATGATACATTTTTTCAGGAATCTTTGACGAATATAAAGTTCAAAAGAGCAAATTTATTTAAAGTATATATATGTGTATATTAGGGATGCAATGGTAGACAAACATGACGGTTCGGTAGCTACATACCTCAGTTTTGACGTCACGGTTCGGTATGGTTTCGGTACACCAGGGGGAAAAAACTAAACAAAATAGCTTTTTTTATTAAGCAGTGGTTTACTGAACAAATGGCTCTTTCTTTAAATAAATTCAATTATAATAAAAAATTTCTTAGGGTAAAAATCTACCTCAGCTTATACACTGAGCTATAGGGTTACAATTAACTTTTAAATATTAACATTTCTATTTGTTGTTGAAATATATTCATTTTCACAGTTGCTGTCATAACTTGTTTCATAACAGATTTATTTAAACATACATTAGATAATTAAGATATCACTAACAGGTAAAGTAAAATATAATGAGTGTATAGTCTAATATTTTGTGAAATGTTCTTCTCTAGACTTTCTCTAGCGAACTAATGAGCTGTGAACACTGATAACTTGCTTGAGGTAAATTACTGTAAATGCTATGGGACATTTTGTTTGAAAGTGGATTGCGAGTTTACATGAGGCATGAGATGTTCATTCATGTTTATTTTGCATTAAAACTAGTAGTAAAGAGGAAGGGATGATCACACTCACTCGTGTTCTGCGCTGCCGTTTGAACTGAGGCGCCTATATACAGTGACCCGTCACTAGGGTTGGGTATCGAGAACCGGTTCCAAATTTCCAATAATCAGGTATTCGATAAGACATGTGCATTTCCATTCTGCTTAACGATTCACGCGTTCTCATTTTAATGTGATTTTAAACTATTTAAGTGCAGGAAGGGAAAGAACTTGCACACTGTTTGCGTGCAGCGCACACATCTGAAGCGCGAGCACAGAGAACAGTGGTCCCGATGCAGGTTCCCAACCTGTGTCCGTTCTCGAACTGTTCCGTGCATTTCCACAAAGGTTGTTCCGGGCCAGAACTGACTTCTCTTTCACATTTATCGACCAGTATGCACGAAATACGTCAGTATATCATCATAAACACAGCCATGTTTTTGTCTTTTACATTACTATAAGGTTACAATTAACAACAGAACCCAAACTTAAATTTAATTACTTTTTATTTTTTAAAAATTGTATTCAGACATGTAAATTGCACATAATGCAATACATTCCACGGTTGAAACACTGATTGAGCGATTACATGAGGCATGAGATGTTCATTCATGTTTATTTTTGCCTATCATTAATGTTAATCAAAGAACAACAGAAAATCATTAACTGACTGAATATCTTTCGTAAATTTAATGAGGATTAATCAATATTTTATTTATGAAAAGAAAACTATACAGTGTTTTTAAACTTTTGATTTCAATTTCTGTACCTGACATTTGTTCAGTTTTATTTATTTATGCTATTGCTAATTAATTTGTTTACTTGTCTTTAACAATTTAATGTTTGAAATTTATATTAGTCTAGTTGTTTTTTTCTGTGGTATTTTTTTTTTATAAAACCATAGACATAAAACAGAATAAATATGTTTGACATCTAAATATTTGGCTTAAAATTTGTTTAATGGGTTTTTTATCTTATTGGAATCGGAATTAGGAATTGATAAGAATCGGAATTAGGAATTGATAAGAATCGGAATCGATAAGCAGAATCGGAACCGGAATCGATAAAATTCAAACGATACCCAACCCTACCTGTCACACCACA